TAAATAATTTAATTTTTACCTTTTGTTCTCCAAACTTTTCCTATTCTCATTTTTCACATTCTACCAATCTTTTTCTCCAAATTCATATTAACTACATTTTCGTCTTTTCTTTTAAAAAAATTTTAATTATCATTTTTAGGTCATCTCATCTAAGAGTAAAGAGAGCCCCAAAGGAGGGAGTGAGAAGTCCTTGACGCGATGGAAAAACGAGGGCTTTGATAACTGCTTCGTCTTCACTTTGCACCACACACCAGGAAAAGGTAACGGATATATTTAGTATACGATTTGTTTCTTTACAATTTTATATTATTTTTTTTGTAGAGGTTTTACGGCGCTCGCAACTACATAAGGTCATATGAGTGCCAGAAGACTAGATTCTAGAGGCTTTACAAGAGAGTACCAACATAAAAAAGAAGAAGGGGAGATAAGGACGATAGATGTTTGGTAGGAAAGAAGGAGCAAACCACACCAGAGCACCCGCCAACCACCCACTTAGTATACGAGTATACGATGTGTTTCGTATGACCAGAGAGTTTTACAGTTATGTTACTGTAAACCGTCTCTGATATTACATTCATTGAGGCAGCTCGAGGGATAAAAATGAATAGTTTTGTATTTACTGGTTAAACGACTCTGTTGTTGCTTTTTTTTCTTTTCGTTCATTGTGTAATATTAATAATAATATGTTAAAGCAACACTTACAATTGGTAATAATAATCACTGATTATGAATTTAAAAAGCAACCAATAACAACAAGACCCCCCCAAAAAAAGAAAAAATAATCCCCAGCTACAACACTTCTCACCTCTCAAAATAAAAAGCAAAAATATAAAAAAGCAACCAACCAACCAACCAACAAAACCAACAATCTAACAAACCAACAAACCAACAAACAAGCAAAAACAAAAAAAAAATACAAAAGGAAAAAAGGAAAAAGGAAGACCCACTGATGCACACGAAGTCACTGTTCCCTCATTATTTTGGTAACGTCTTTCTCAACTCGGTTGCGAATGTCGGTAGCTCGAATCCCCCAATGGAACATCCCTGAACAGGGGTTGGGGGCTGTCGTGGCATAGAGATTAAGGCGTTGGCATCTCATTGAAAGGTACGGGTTTGAATCGGGGTATCGACCGACAAATGTTCTTTCTAATGTTGTCTCCTTTCACCTCCTTTCTTGCTCTCTGGCAATGTTCTGTCGCCTGCTTTTGTCTCCTCTTTATGCCCCCACCCCTCACCTTCCTTGCCCCATCCTCTGGGCTCCTGACTCTTTCTGCAGCCTTTCTATTTAACTGCTACTCCTTGGCTCTTTCTTACTTTCGTCTTTCAGCCACGCCCCTGATCTTCTGGTAGGAAAGACCTAAACCTAGCGTCTCGAACATGGGTGAAAAATCTCGGAGGGCCAGGGTGCAAATTGCGCACGTTAAAGATCTCTTGGTGCTCTAAAATCGATAAGAGTAGGCTTCGGCCGCCACCCGGGAAAAGTTCAAAATTTCCTCCCTACTGAACAAGTTTTATGAGCCCCGCGCGCTCATATGACATTATGCAGTTGCTAGCGTCGTAAAACACTTACAAACAAAAAACAACAACAACAACAACAAAAATCCCACAAGGGGCATTCTTAAACAGGGGTTCTCTGGGAGACCTCAAAGTTTTCCAGCCACATGGCTCAGCCGTACACAAAAAGACGCCTATAGAGGTCTAACCTTGAAACCTCCGCGTTTTGAATAACGTTTGAGAGAAGGCTGCTTCTTCTTTCCTGTCAAACATCTATCGTCCGTATAAATCTCCCCTCCTTCTGTTTTGTGTTTGTTACTCTCTTGTAACACCTCTAATCTTCGGCACTTATATGACCTTATTGTGTTGCAAGTGCCGAAAAAACACTTACTTAAACAAAAAAGAGAAGAGTTTAAAATGGAAGTAAATTCCCCTCCATTCTTCCAAATAATTCATGAGCATACAGTGGGAAATTCGAGCTAGGGTCCACCGCAGTTCAGAATAATAATTATGTGTCTCAACACGGTGAAATCAGGCTCTCGTCAATTTGCGGCGGGTATGTTAAGTTATTGGTATCATCTGAAAGTTTTTTCATTTGTCTTGCTTTCGATAAAAAAAATATCCATTTATTTTGAGTACAAGTCAAGATATTTGCGATTGAAGGAGGTGGGGGTCGCCTGGTCTCAGAGGTAAAATCAGTGAGAAAATGGCCGCCAAAGTTTGGTTATTTCCTTAGCTTGAGAGTCCGTGGAAACAGATAATTGACATTCTTTATGCCTTGAATTGACGAGGGGTTGGGGAGGGTGGGGGGTTCGGTACAATCCATACATAAGCGTATTTTTAATGGACATGGAAGGTGTTGAGCCAAAAAAAGAAAACCCAACAAAATTTCAATGAAACTTTCCAAAGCTGAGGAAAAATTCCAGTTTCTTCACTTTCATTATTTTAAAACGAGCGCCTGATTCCACCTCGTCGAGACACAATTATTATCATCGCAGCCAGCAGCAGCACCATCCCCACCACCACCACTACCACCAGCAGCCTTCAGAGGGCTCGTATGCCCACGTAAGTACCTGGAAGCTCTAAATACCCGCGTCAGCTATTGTCAAACCCAGACTCGAAATGAACAAAGACCATGACAGCGCGTTCATTAATCCAGGGGGCGCGGGGAATTGGCCAGGCGTTACGGTTTATGGCGGGTCCGGACTGTCTATTGGGACCTACTCGGACAATCCCCCAGAAAAAGGAGAAGAACGAAGAGCGCAGGGTTTTTCTAATTATTTCAGGACGGCGTGGGCTGACATATTGTTGGCTGATATTTGATTGAGTATGATTGGAAATGATTCACGCCCCAACAGACAAGATTAAGATAGGTTAAGGCAGTGGATGCTTTGACCCTGATTTTTCATAATGATTAATAATGATTCTTCTTCTTCTTCTTCTTCTTCTTCTTCTTCTTCTTCTTCTTCTTCTTCTTCTTCTTCTTCTTCTTCTTCTTCTTCTTCTTCTTCTTCTTCTC